AATTCAGGATTACCCCAGAATATGTGGGGGGAAGCTGTTTTAACAACAAATCATATTCTGAATAAAATACCACCTAAAGGGAAAAATGGGACTCCTTACGAAATGTGGAAAATTCGTAACCCGTCTTATAAGTACCTGAAAGTGTGGGGGTGTTTGGCTAAGGCTTCAGTTCCTGAACCAAAACAAATGAGAATCAGACCTAAGACGGTCAATTGTATTTTTATTGGATATGCATACAATAGTACTGTATATAGATTTCTGGTTCATAAATCAGAAAATCCGTAGGTATCGGTTGGTACCACTATTGAGTCGAGGAATGCTATATTCTTCGAGAATATTTTTCCTTTAAAGGAAAGGGCAGAATCTAGTTCTAACAAAAGGACGTATGAAACTGCTAGCGGTTCTATACCAGATGGTACTGAAGATAAAGAAGAAGAATCGAGACGTGGTAAAAGGGTAAAAACGGCAAAAACGTTTGGACCTGATTTTATTACGTATATGTTGGACGATGAACCGAGTTCCATTAACGAAGCTCTGTCTAGCCCAGATGGACCACTCTGGGAAGAAGCTATAAATAGCGAAATCAAATCCATTATGCAAAATCATACTTTGGAGTTAGTTGATCTCCCTGAGGGTTGTAAATCTTTAGGATGCAAGTGGATCCTAAAAAGAAAGTACAAAGCTGATGGAACGATTGACAAGTTTAAAGCAAGATTAATGGTCAAAGGCTTTAAACAAAAAGAAGGGTACGACTTCTTTGATACCTATTCACCTGTGACGCGTAAAGCGTCAATTAGAGTGCTTCTCTCTATTGCTGCTTTGCACAATCTAGAGATTCATCAAATGGATGTCAAAACGGCATTTTTGAATGGTGAATTAGAAGAAGAGATTTACATGGAACAACCCGAAGGTTTTGTAGCACCTAGACAAGAGAAAAAGGTGTGAAAATTTATCAAATCCTTGTACGGACTTAAACAAGCTCCGAAACAATGACATTTGAAATTTGATGACGTGATGTTGTCAAATGGATTCAAAATCAACGAATGTGACAAGTGTGTTTATGTTAAAAACACATCAAATACATATGTAATTGTATGTCTATATGTAGACGATATGTTGATCATGGGGAGTAGCCATGACGTGATCATGGATACAAAACGAATGTTGAAAAGAAATTTCAACATGAAAGATATGGGTTTAGCTGATGTAATTCTTGGAATAAGAATTATCAGAACCCAAGATGGAATTGTCTTGTCACAATCTCATTACGTAGAGAAAGTGCTCAAGAAATTTAATGCCTATGAAGGTCCTTTGTCTAGGACACCCCTTGATCTTAGCATAAATCTGGAAGCCAATAAAGGTCAACCAGTTGCTCAATTAGAATATTCACGGATAATAGGGAGTCTAATGTACTTGACGAACTGTACACGACCAGACTTGGCCTATCCAGTGAATAATTTGAGTAGATTTACGAGCAATCCCAGCATGAGCACTGGAATGCTTTCAAAAGGGTACTGAAGTACTTAAAGTACACCCTTAGATACGGGCTAAAATACTCGAGATATCCTGCAGTACTTGAAGGATATTGTGATGCAAGCTGGATATCGGATTCGAGAGATTCTCTCTCCACAAGTGGATATGTCTTCTGTATCGGAGGAGGAGCTATTTCGTGGAAGTCCACAAAACAAACATGTATAGCTCGGTCAACCATGGAGTCAGAGTTCATCGCTTTAGATAAAGCTGGTGAAGAAGCCGAGTGGCTTCGAAACTTTTTATCCAATATTCCATGTTGGAATAAACCTTTGTCACCTGTGATGATTCACTGTGATAGCCAAGCTGCTATAGGAAGGGAGCAAAGTAACATGTACAATGGTAAGTCTAGACATATTCGTCGTAGACATAATACCGTTCGCCAATTGATCACAAATGGTATTATTTCCATTGACTATGTAAAGTCTAAGGAAAATTTGGCTGATCTTTTTACTAAAGGATTGAATAGAGATCAATTGGGAATACTGCTAGAGGGAATGGGATTAAAAATCCACAAAGAAAAGAATAATCATAGTGGGAACCTTACCTTGCTGAAAGGAGATCCCATAAACTTGTTCAAGGGGAAAACTAAACTATAAAAATTCAGCGGAGCACTTGGAACATTAGAGTGTCCAAATCTATTCCCTAAAAGCAATCCAAGTGCAAGATTACCTGTTGATTGTGGTGAGCGTAAGTCATCTGGACTTTTAATGAATCCCTAACCTTTTAAAGGTGGAGTAATACAGGATACTCTTGACAGGGAGGTCACCTATATAAGTGTGAAGTGAGACCCGCTTCAATTGTAAACACTTATGAATCCGAAGTGTTGTCCATGGCCAAAACGGACAAAACCATAGAACGAAATGGAGTTAAGGCTCTATTGTGTGAATGTCATTGTCTTGGTGTACACTATGGAGGAATAGTTCAAGGCACTATGTCCACTAAGCCGCCAGTACATCCGAT